CTTTTCTGAAACAGTTTATAGAGAATTATATGTTTCTTGAGGATTTTATATACGCACTCCCTATAAAGTGATCTGGGCCTGGTGCTTTTTAGAGAGGTAAATCTTGGAGGACCTTTTCAATGTCTTCTGCTGTTGTTATACTGTGGGATCTTCTACTCTTCTGTGAGCTCACTTTGGTAAATTATATTTTGCAGAGCAGAGGCTGGAAAACTGCAGCCTGCAGGCCAAATCTGGCCCACTGCTTATTTTTGTATATGAAGTTTTGTTGGAACATGGTCACATCCATTCATTTATGTGTTGTCTATGCCTGTTTTTTGTGCTACAGCAACAGAGTTGAGTAGTTGCAACAGAGACTATGGCCTGCAAAGCCTAAAATGTTTACTGTCTGGCCCTTGACAGAAGAGATTTGCCATCTCGTGTTTTAGGAAATTGTTCAATTTAGCTGGGTTTTCTGATGAATTGGTATAAATTGTACTTAGTGTTTTCTTGTCTTTTCAAAATCTCTACATTTGAAGTTAGGTCTCTTTTTTTTCTTTATTCCCAGTACTGTTTATATTTCTTCTTTTTTTTCCCATTGTTTGGTATTACTAAAATTTTGTCTGATTTATCGGTAACAATGTTATGTTGGTGTTCCATCTTAGGCTTTACAGCAGTTTAAATATCATCAGACTTAGTGACACATGTCTCTTAAAGGTATGCTAGTGAAAAAAAAGAAATGTATGGTAGTATTGATGAATGAAACTATCTGATCTTGATGAGTGATTTCAGAAATTTCTCCTTTTCTTCTATGCTAATTATTTATATTCCCCGCCTCTTCTGGGGTCAGTGTTAAATCATTCCCTCCTCCAGCTTTTCAAATTATTTATAGAGTTGAGCCTAAAGAAATATCTTAATTTCAGAAAATCATATCTTATTTTCTTTCATTTTCATATTTTTAATTAGGTTAACTAGCAGTTTATTTTTTTCATAAAACCATGCCTTGGATTTATTGGTTTACTTTTAAAGTCGTTGATTTCTACTTTTATCTTTACTAATTCCTTCTACTCCTTAAGTTTGTTTTTTAACTTGAGTTGGATGCTTTATATTCATTCTTGTTTGTTGAAAATAATTGACTGAATTTTTCTTTGAGCACTTGTTTAGCCATATTTTAAAGTATATGTGTTGGGTCAGCCCGTGGCTTAGCGGTTAAGTGCGTGCGCTCCGCTACTGGCGGCCCGGGTTCGGATCCCCGGCACGTACCGCACCGCCGCACCGCTTCTCTGCCGCGTCCCACATACAGCAACTAGAAGGATGTGCAGCTATGACATACAACTATCTACTGGGGCTTTGGGGGAAAAATAAATAAATAAAAAATTATTAAAAAAAAAAAATAAAGTATATGTGTTGCTTTCACTCTTATTTTCTTAATATCCCTGCAGTTTGGGTATTTATTTCCTCTTCAACTCAAATTCTATGTAAGGCAGTTTTATTGTTTCTAGGGTGATTGCATTGTAATCCAGAAATATCATCTGTATTATTTCTACTTTTTGGAATTTATTAACGTTTTCTTTAGTGTTGTGTGTGTGTGTACTTTTTATGACTGTTTCATGGGTACTTGTCAAAAAAGGTATTATATTATGTTTTCAAGGTATATGGTTTTGCTTTTTTTTTTTTTCTTCCAGTTTTTCCATTTGGTTTACATGTTCTGATACTATGAGTTTGGTATATAAAGGTTTTTAGCTGTTTATATATTTTTGGTTGGTTTCTTTTATCAATACGAAATATCTCCTGTCCTTTATAATGCTTTTCTCCTTAAATTTTTTTTTTTTTTTTTTTATAATTTTATTTATTTTTTTCCCCCAAAGCCCCAGTAGATAGTTGTATGTCATAGCTGCACATCCTTCTAGTTGCTGTATGTGGGACACGGCCTCAGCATGGCGGGAGAAATGGTGCGTTGGTGCACGCCCGGGGTCCGAACCCGGGTCGCCAGTAGTGGAGCGCACGCACTCAACCGCTAAGCCACGGGGCCGGCCCTCTCCTTAAATTTTTAAATCTGATATTAATATTGCTTTCGTTTAAATTTTCTTAGCACTTTGTGGTGGTTTATCTTTCTCTATGCTCTTTCCCCCAATCTCTTTTCCCCCAATTTTTCCACATTGATTTGTTTCAGGAGTGATTTTTGCAAAATATATTCTTAAGTTTGTTTTTCTTTTCTTAACCCAGTTTAAGAGACTTTATTAACGAGTGACTTTAACCCAGTCACATTTATTGTGACTATAGATATTTTAGGGCTTATGCTTGGCATCTTATTATGTATTTCATATTAACCACAATTTTGAAATAATTCTTTTTATTGCATTTTCTATGTCTGTTAAATGGATCAAGTTTTCTTGTTTTCATTTTTTTCTCCTTTCAATGGTTTGGATATTTACTGACATAATTAACCTAGGTTTTAACTATACATACACAATAGCCAAAATCATTCAGTATTTATATCTGTTACCCAGCAACTCTACCCTTACCCCTTCACCTACTAACTCTGTTAGCCTCTCTTTTACTCTTTACTACCACATCCCGTGTTTACATCTGAGATTTTACTTCAGATATTTAATTCAGTTTTATAATCAATAATTGCTTTGTCTTAATGTTTTTTACTGGTTTTGGTGACGTTTTCTGGCCCCAGAAATGAGTACCTATCTCAGCCTTATTTTCCCCATGGCACTTTACTGATAACAAGTACAGCAATTTGAATTTGAAGTTGGGGATGGGGTTACTGGGTGACAGACGTAAATACTGCTTCTGAATTCTTAGCCAGTTTGGATGTGTTGTTAGACTTCTTGTACATGTCTCCATGTACATCATTCACAGTTTTTGCCTATAGATTATCTTCTAATTCCTTGAATATAAAAGAACGTTTTCCTGTTGCTATCTCGCATATATAGCATCTTGTTTGGATGTTAAATTGTTGTCATAATCTTTTTATTTCCTTTTAATAATAAAGTGGCAAAAAAGCCTGTATTACAGCAGTGGGTAACTGTATCACTTTAAGGTTATGTTCAATTGCCGAATACCATGCTGAGCCCGGTACTAAGCATGTAAATGCTGGGTTAAAGTTTTTATGTTCCTTATGATTTCATAGTTACATATGCTTTATCTTCTTTTGTTTTCAGAGGTACTTTAGAATGTTCTAATGCCTTATTTTCCTCATAACAAAGGAATATACATTATTGCTACATTCTGGGAGCATTAAGCTGTCTGAGAGACAGAATTTCATACGTGAAGTGATTAGATCTAAAAGCATTTGGCCCAAATTATTAATAAGTGGCTTTTCTCAGTTATCTTCAAGAAGATTGGAAAGGAATACAAGCAATAAATAGAATGTTTGTAATTTTTCAGTGTAATTTCTCCTGAACTACAATTTCCTTGTATTACTTTAGAAAAATCAAAGTCGCATTTAAAAAAGTAAGAGGCCAAGGTCGTATATTAAAAAGTATTAGTGTTAGTGATATAGACTAAACTCACGATTTGTTCAGAGAAAGAAGACGATAGTGAGGCTGGATTGTTAAGTGACGGGGGAGGCTCTAGAGTTGAGAGAGAGTGTGTAAGAGGAAGTTGAGTGACTTGGAAACAACACAGGTGACCAACATTTTATTCCAGCGTCATATACATTAAAGGCATTTGATAAATATTTCTTTTATTTGGGGCACAGTAATAGCTTCTGTTATCTGAGTGTTTATATCATGCTGGGTACTAGACCAAGACTCTACTGTATAGATAAGGGGAAGGACACAGATAACCCAGCCAGTGAGCAGTGGGGCTGTTTTAATTTCAGGCCTGGGGCTCTCTTAGCCCTTGAACAGAGTTTTGTCTAAATCTCCTCACCGGTCACACTTATCTGACAGTGGCATCTGTGAAGATGCATCAAAATCCCACAGAGACATTAAACTGCTACAAAAGTATAAGCTGGTATGGTGCCAATCATTAAAAAATAACCACTATTTATTTAGCCTTGTGTTTGATGATCTGTAAACATTAACATATGTAACCTTAGGCTAGCTCTGCAAGGTATAGGTGTTATACCCCATTTTACATAGGAGACCACTGGCTTGGCAGGGTTTATACAGCTTGCCTAAAGACACAAAGCTTAATAAAGGCAGAGCTGGGATTGAAACCTGGGTCCATCTGGTACCGTAAGTTCATATACTATGCTGCCTCTCTGTACTTTCAGAGATTGAGTATATCTTCACTGGTTTAAGGCATTTCCATTAGTTTGTTTACTTATTTACTCTCTTAGGAGTTCAGAAATTCACTATTCATAGTTTCATATTGTTTATACAGTAGACAAATGGCTTTTTCTCAGACTTGTTTAAGATAGGGTATCCAAGTTATTTCCTCAATTTTGATTAGTTTCATAGATTTCATTCTGTTATCTTTGTCTTTACTTCCCTATTCTGAGTTTGTCTTATTTGAATCAGACTTTGCATTTTAACAACAAAAAACATTGTTAACTTTGCCTTTTTTGAAAGGAAACTGGCAGATTGTTTTCTACCCTCATTCTTGTGTTGTCTTTCAAAGATGAAGAACTGGGACCAAACACATTAAAAATGAGGCAGATTAAGAACAGTTACCAGGGAATTGAGGATTCTTTTAGGACTACCAAAACTTGATTTGCCACATTTGTTCTTCTAGTCTTTGTGAGTTCTGTAGTTGTATAGTCAGTGCTTATTCTCTGATCAGAGAATGTGGGAAAGAGATGGCAAGCATGAGCTGTCATCCAGGCCAGGGAAGGCCAGTGGTCTCCATGCACTTACTGGATTGGTAGTCAACAAAAGTAAAATTTGACTCTTGGCAGCAATTTCTCCTAAGAAAACTTGAGCCCATGAACGAGGATATCCCCACACACTTAAAGCTTCTGTTCCTTTAGGATTGTTTTTCTTAGTGCCTTTTTATTTAGATGGCTTACTATGGAGGTACACTTTACTGGCTAATCTTTTCCACCCCTTTTCTTTTGTTGGGATTAGTGCCAGAACAGATAAAGCCCAGTGTAAGCCAGCCTCAGCCTGCCAACTCTAATAACGGCACTTCCACAGCAACCAGCACTAATAATAATGCCAAGCGAGCCACAGCCAACAATCAGCAGCAGCAGCAGCAACAACAGCAGCAGCCACAGCAGCAGCAGCCGCAGCAGCCGCAGCAGCCGCAGCCGCAGCAGCAGCAGCAGCAGCAGCAGCAGCAGCCACAGGCCTTGCCTCGGTATCCTCGTGAAGTACCACCACGATTTCGCCACCAGGAACATAAACAGCTGCTAAAGAGGGGTCAGCATTTTCCTGTCATAGCGGCAAACCTGGGATCTGCTGTTAAAGTGTTAAGCAGCCAGTCAGAAAGCAGTGCTTTAACAAATGAACAGCCACAAAATAACGGAGAGGTGCAGAACAGCAAAAACCAGTCAGGTGAGAGAAGGCATTTCTTACAAGACTCCAACTATCGTCATTAGCAGTGTAGCAAGTTTATAAACTCATGGCTTTTTGGTGATGTATTTGTATTCGTCAGTATATGGGTTGCAAAATAAGAATTCTATACAGGCAGTTATGAATGGGGAATCTTAAAATGTTTCCTGTAAGTTAATTGCCCATCCTACTTTCAAAATGATTAATCACTCTCCAAGTTCTCCCTATTTTAATAAGCAGCTTTATAGCTAAAATTGATCATAAAAATATAGCTAAAATTGAACGCTATCCCAGCCCCGAGTTATATGCTAAGCATTTAATACTCAGCAACCTGTGAGGTATAAATTGTTCTTATCTCCATTTTTCAGTAGAGGCAGCTGAGGCACCAAGACGTTAGATGACTTGCCCAGGATCACTCAGTTACCTGTGTCCTAAGAAGACTGCCATTCATGAAAATTGCATTCAAACAGAGGACATGCATTCAGTTATTGCCAGAGAATGGCTTTTCTCAGCTCAGTAATGATTGTGTGGCAGAAATCTAGTATGTGATTACAGTTTTCTCAAAGCCCAGTTTGTTTTGACATATTCTGATAGGTTCTGATGGTTGGTTGGTTGGTTTGTCCATTTGTTTATCGAACTGTTTTTTTTTTTTTTTTTTTTTTAAAGATTTTTTTTATTTATTCAGTTTTTCCCCCCAAAGCCCCAGTAGACAGTTGTATGTCATAGGTTCACATCCTTCTAGTTGCTGTACGTGGGACCCGGCCTCACGTTGGACGGAGAAGCGGTGCCTCCGGGCGCGCCCGGGATCCGAACCCGGGCCGCCAGCATCAGAGCGCACGCACCTAACCGCTAAGCCACGGAGCCGGCCCGTATCGAACTGTTTTGAAGCTTTTACCACAAGCCAGCTAGAGAATTGAGGAGAATCAAGGTTCCCATACATGAAAACACTAGCATACTGGTACTGAACAAAATCTCTCGAGCCAAATGGACCTGGATTTTATTTATTTATTTAATTTTATTTTATTTTTATTTTATTTTATTTTATTTTATTTTTTGTGAGGAAGATCAGCCCTGAGCTAACATCCGTGCTAATCCTCCTCCTTTTTTCTCCCCAAAGCCCCAGTAGATAGTTGTATGTCATAGTTGTACATCCTTCTAGTTGCTGTATGTGGGACGCAGCCTCAGCATGGCTGGAGAAGCCATGCATCAGTGTGCGCCCGGGATCCAAACCCGGGCCGCCAGTAGCAGAGCGCACGCACTTAACCGCTAAGCCACGGGGCCGGCCCTGGATTTTAAATCTTCAGTCCACCGTATACCAGCGTGTGTGACCTTGGGCAGATTATTTAATTGCACCATGTGTCTGAGTCTTGTCTGAGCAGCCTTTCCTAACCGTCCTAGGTAGAGTTATTCACTTTCTACCTCTATGCTGTCTTATATATACGAGGAACTACTCTGTACCTTATAATATTTAATGGTATTTCACAGCTAATCAGTAGCAGAGCCTGGACTCACATCAAGATCTGACTCTAAAGCTATGCTTGTAAGAACCATGCTGTGCTTTGGCAACATACTAGATGAGATAGGTAAAGAGGAAGAGGGCACAAGTATGAGTTTTCTAGCATAGGTAATTAGAGCAGCACATTATTATTGGAAAGGGTACAAACTTAAATTATCATCCTGAGTTAATACTTACCCCTACTTATCACCTGTGTGAGCTTGGCCAAATCACTTAACTTCCCTGACCCTCTCCTAATCTGTGAAGTGTGGGTGGTAATACTCAACCTGTAAGGTTGCTTTGAGGATTAAATTATGTGATGTGTTAAAGCAGCTAGCTAAGTGCTTAATATTTAGGTACTGAATGGATTATCTTCCCCGAAACTTGTACAGAAGGACCTGCACTTTTCAGGAAGAAGAATCTGGTTTAGACATAATACATCTAATGTCAAGCAATTAGTAGTCGGTTTGAAGTTCATCTGGGAAGTCAGATTGGAAGCAGATGTATGAGTCATTGGCATAATAAAAAACTGATTAAAACTTTAGGAGAGGTTATTTATACAATAAATGCTTTGATTACCTTCTAGAGGCTAAGCAATGGTGATATGGTAATCAACAAAACAGGGAGGTAGGATAGTAAATTTAGAAAATAGTATATGTTGAATATGCTTTTTCAGTTTGGGAAATGAAAGAACAAAGCTGTTTTTGAAGTGGGAACAATAGGAATATAAGAAAACCAAAAATGGTTGTGGGTCATAAAACCCAAAAGTGTTACAGGTGTTCATTCAGATGAGAGAAGGCCTCAGATGTGGGCATAGGAAGAAGTCTTCTAAAAAAGTCTAAGAAGGGAAAAATATCCTGCCTGTTTCTAAAAGGACTTTACAAAGGTGGACTGCATTAATGTGGAGGTTAAGATGGAAGTCAGGAGGGGGTGGCAATCTGACTGAGGTCTTAAATTAAATCCCCAAACAACTAGAGAATGCAGATGATGAAGGCAAATCATTCTGCAGAAGAACTAGACTTGTGGTTTTGTCTTTTTTTTAAACATTTGTGAATCCCTACTTACCAGCATATGTCACATATTTACATTAAAATATCTTTGTAGGTGCTACTAAGAATAATAATAGAAACTTTAGCCACATAGTTGACCATTGGGTATCCGTGAATCAGGGAAGCCTTCTTAGACAGTTAGGTCAGTCCCAGCTCCTAAAGAGTTATTAACAACAACAACAATAATGGTATAATGACTAACCCTTATGGAAGTGCTTACTGTGATCTATACACTCTCTTAACGAATTTAATCCTCGCTTTATAGATTAGATAGTATCACCTTCATCTTACAGATTGGAGATTAGCCTAGTGATCAATGAAAAACAGTGTACTGGGTGGTATAAACGGCATGAGCAACAGGCCAGAAACATGAAAACTGTATGTTGTGAACTACATGTAGTTCGGAACTGTGGGAACATAATCCTTTTGTTTTTATCTATTTGTATTTGCGTTTGGCTTTTTTGTTTCCTAAACAGAGCTAATTAAGGGAGTAGAGTTGATATTTAAATTAGTACATACATAGAAATTTACTTAAAGTTTTCATGGTAAAAATGAGGAGTGCTGGATATGCCTCCCTTGTCCTCATAGAATGCATTTCTCATTTATTCAGTGCAGTCAGGGAGTAGGGATAGTACCTAAATGAGATTAGATAGTTTATAAATCAGAGGTCACAAACTAAATGGCTTCACGGGCTAGCAGGTAAGTGAAGTAAAAGATGAAAAGGAATAATGGGAATGGTGATAAATGTTTTGAATTTTGTACCCTGCCTAAATACTTTTCCGTTCTCGTTTTAAGTTTTTTAGAACCCTGTGCTGGTCAAACCAGACAACTCTGCAGGCTGAGCTGCCAGTTGTGGTTGTGTCTCAGACACTTATCGATGATTTCAGTCAGCACTTGGAGACCTCTCTTTGCAGTTGATCTCTTAGAGCCCTAAGCTATCAGGCCCCGCTACTGTCCAAATAACCCTTGAATTTAGGAGGTCCACAGGCCGTGTAATGAGGGATTTGAGGGACTAATGCTTAACAGAGCTGGCAGCAATATTGTTCTTAGGAGCCAGAGTGTTACATCCCCCTTTTTATCATCCAACTGACATGATACATACAGAAAAGTTAAGTGGATAGAACAGCAAACGGCCATATACCCTCCACTCAAATCCAACAGTTGTTAATATTTTCTCATCTTGACTTCACACATATACTTCCCTCCCTCCCTCCCTCCCTCCTCCTCTCCTTCCCTCCCCTCCTATCATTTGTACATACATATGCACACATGTGCACAAATGTTCATTACACTTCACCTTTAATATTGCCACAAGAAATATCTAAGAATAAGAATAGTCTCCTATATAACCATGATACCATGATCACCCTAAACAAAAGGGGGATATATTCAACAATATCCTCTGATGTGTAGTTCATATTCACATTTCCCCTGATTGTGCTACGAATGTCGTTTTGTTTGTTTGCAGTATACAAATACAAAGCATGCAAAACAACGTTATATACTGCTTAGAGACAAATTCAAATATAGCATTTTGAGTGGTCGCAACTGGGTTACCCCTGGGGATGGAAGGAGATGTAATCAGAGAAGGGGTATCACAGGAATTTTCTACTATATTAATAGTATGTTTTTTAAGGTGAGGGGTATGTGGGTAATTTTTATATTATTCTTTATAGCCTTTCCTACCTTTGAAATTTTTTCTTTTTTAAAAGAAGTTCAAGGATATTTGAGCTGTAATGGTGAATGACCAAGACTTGGGACTGTTTTAACAAAAATTGTTAATATTAAAGTTTCTGGAGATGTTTAAAGATTAAAATTCTGTCCATCCACCTGTGCTCTTGACTATATTTTCAGTGTGGTAACTTCCTCGCTGTCCTGTAACTTCCACTTCTTACTGTCAATGTGCACCTTCCCCTTGGCCAATAAATGTACTCAAGTCTCTATCATGCTTTAAAAAACATTCCTTTAAACTCCCATTCTCTTGAGGCTATTATAGAATTTCTCCCGTCTTCTTTCTCAGACTTCGTAAAGGAGTAGTCTATACTTGCAATCTCTAATACATTACTTCAGTCCTCTGTAATCTGGCTCCTGCTCACTTGACTAAAATAGCTCTTACTAAGGTCACTAATCTTCTGAATGCCAAATCCAGACTTTTCCATTTTTTAAAGATTTTATTTATTATTTTTCCCCCCAAAGCCCCAGTAGATAGTTGTATGTCATAGCTGCACATCCTTCTAGTTGCTGTATGTGGGACGCGGCCTCAGCATGGCCGGAGAAGGGTGCGTCGGTGCGCGCCCAGGATCCGAACCTGGGCCGCCAGCAGCGGAGCGCGCGCACTTAACCGCTAAGCCACGGGGCCGGCCCAAGACTTTTCCATTTTTGTCTTAGTAGATACCTGCATTTTTTACTGTTGATCGCTTCCTTCTTCTTTTTTTTTTTTTATAATTTTATTTATTTAT